TCTCTTCGGGAAACTAATTTAATCTCACTTCATGAGAAATTGACATTTTCAGTACCTTAAACATCCTTAAAAGCTGCTTTGTTCACTGCAAACCATATTTAGTGTGACCTCACAATAATGCAGCACACCTCAAGTGTCATGCCTGTCTTTACTATGCACTTTGGAGCTGTGTTCATCTATACTAGACAACTGCACTTCAAGGAAAGATTTTTTTTCCTTGATAGGCAATTAGCAGTAATTAGGAAGATTCACTTCAGTAAGGTGTCAACATGAGATTGTTTAAAAAAGTTGAATGTCAGTGGCTTTAAAAGAGGGTTCTTTTCCCTGACACATAGGTATGGCATGTGAAACATGAAATGTTAATTTAACTTTTCTGCTTATTATTCATGCACAATATTATTTTGTCATTCAGATACTACACTGACAGAGTGCAAAGGGTGTTAAAATAGTGCTGCTGGAATAAAAAGAGGATTAATCTACCATTGGCCAATTAGCCAAAGGGTACTTAATGGTCTCTAAAGGCTACTGAAGTCTAACAACTAGCTAAAGCACTGGCAAAAAGTCCTCTATATTACCTTCATTTATCTGACATTTTGTGGAATAGTCAGCTCCTGATAACTGCATTTGGCAGAAAAAAAATACAACTAAACCATTCAGTAGATTTTACTAAAATTTCAGTAGGATGAATGACAAATAAGTTCTACATTTTAGAAGTTTGTCTTGCTTTTGGGGGGTCTTTGTTTCAATTAGGGGATGGCATATTAAGTCACCAAAGACTTCTGCTTGATATTTTGTCTTCGAGTCTAGAATACTAAGTAATCAACCGCTTACAGCACTTGCATGAAAAGAACTTTGATCGAGGATTTGAAGTTATTTGCCTTTCCTCTATATGATCACATTAAGTATTCACCACAGCTTTTTAGTCTGGTATATACCTTTTCAGATTGCTACATACCATCTTTATTAATTTTAGCCTTTTTTTTTTTTTCTATGACCCATCAGGCAGAGAAAGATTTTGATTCAAGAGAATGCAAAAGGGTCAAGTTTAGTGGGATTGACACAATAAATTTGTCTTTGGATATTGTAAATAGGCTCATCATTATGCTATAATAATATTTGAGAGAATGAGTAAAATCATAAATACCTAGCTCTCTGCCTGCAAGCATCCTTTGAAAAGTTCTTTCATGTTTTAATGTGTGCAACAAGTACTGCTTATTTTGTGAGTTTTTCATGATCAAGCTGAAACTGTAAGAAAATAGTGTTCTATGAGAAACGTTTATAGAAGCAGCGTTAAATTCTAAAATAGAACTTTGTATAGGAGCTATGCATGTAGCAAATATATTCTAGTACCTACTGTAGTAAGAATTCTTGGAGAAAAGAAAAATGAGAGTGCTAACTTCAGTTTTCTTACAGACATAGCAGTGCTATCATCTGCCCGGATTTTAGGGTGGGAATCGTTACAGAAAATGAGATTTTTACACATCAGAGTGTATTAGCTTTAGTTTACAAAAGAGTAATAAAATAAGATTATGTAATTTTTATGCTTAAAGTGTGTCAAGAATGTCTGATTTGCATCCTGTTTTATAGTTTTTTATTTATTTTACAAATATAAGTGTGTGGGATTGTGTGACTTCACAGCAGAAGTACAGTATCAGCTGCTTCCAACAGAAACGTAATATTCATACAAACCAGTTGCAGCAGAATTGTGACTTCTGTAAAATGAGCTCCAAGCCCCTTATGGAGTGATTGTGATGCCAAGGAGCAAGAGGCCATTGCAGGAACTTCCTGTGTTAACCCACTGGGCCTTCCACACAGCTGTCTTTCTGAGCAGAGGGTTTATGGTGAAAAGCCTTGCTGAGTCACCAAAGTTTTACACTGACTACACAGAAACTGAGGTTTCATCACTTACTCCTTCGTGAACAGCAGAACAGAGTGCCATGGGTATACCAGGAGCGAGGAGATTAAGATAGATGGATGTTAAAATATTGAATCTATAAACATCTGTTAAGCCAAAAACACTCTGGAGGAGGTGCAGCAGACAAAGGCCGCTACATCATAGAGAAACAGCAGTAGGCTGCCTTTACCAACATCTGGTCTAGCTGATGTTTGAGATTCTTCTACCTTTCATCCTGGTGACCTCTTCCCCTGGAGTAAATTCCTTTTGCTCTGTCATTCAGGATTTGTGTGCATGGTAGCCCATACACAAAACTTCCACTGTGTCTAAGAAAGAAAAAATAATTAAAAACTTGACCTAAAATATCGCGAATGGTGAAGAACAATAGGATAATGAACTTGTTTCTTAAGTAAATGCAAGGAATGTCTTCTAGGCATAAATATCTTGATAGGGCAGTGGGGCTGTTTTTTACATCCCACATGGATTTACATAGGGTTTTCTCATAACTGTCCAATAGATTAAAAATAGAAGAGTAATGCAGTAGAATTATCAGTTCTATAGTACATTTACAATATCTACATAAGTATTAAGAGACAGCTTCTGTGAAATGTCTGATTGCAATTGCATGCAAAATGTGTCTGTTTTTGTGAGTTGGGGCTCTTGTACATCATATGCTACTTTCACTTCATCCCTGTAGCTCTTATGCTGTTTCTGTATTTATGTAAATTCTTATTTTAAAATCTTTTTTTCTACCTCCTTAAAAAAGGAAGAAAAAGTAGCTAAGTGGTTTCGGTAACTGTCATCTTTAGTACCTGTCCCATGAAGACCTTTTCTTTTTGAATATATTTGCTGTAATTTTTGAGAGTGTTACCAGTGCAATTCATGATGTTTTAGAACTGATGCATATTGTCGGCAGCAGTAGCCTAAGAAACTTCTGAGAGTCACAAGCTATCTTGGGCAGATATGGGGGCATCTCTAATTTTGAACAGAGATATTGATCCAGCTAAGATTTTTTTTTTCTTTTCTTTTTATGAATAATTTATTACAGAGACACTGAATCATGAAATTCAGCATGTAGAAATATTGGTTACACTGGACAAATTAACACAATCCTCATATTTTTCTATGGTCTGTCCTTCTGTACTACTTCTGTACTGGTTTTTCTTATTGAATGATCCTCATTTTGTCTTTTACTCTGCAAATGTAGTAATTATGAGAAGAATATATCAGATTAAGGAATAGTCAATTAGAAAATACAGGATCTCTTTCTTGTTTAATGATGACAGCAGACACAGAAGGGAATGGAAAGATTAGCTCCTTTACTAAGAAAAATACTTACCTCAGATACCTATGTAAAATGCCCACGGACTTGAATAAGTGCACTTGGTGAACATGAAATAAATACGGTTAGAGTTTTAAATACCAGATGAATTTTCCTTGTACTCATGATATTTTTTCAGGCTAATGCAAAATATACAAACATTCGTAATGGGAATAAATGTGACTCTCTTTTATCTGTATATATGTGATCTTCAGATTATTGTAATGAAAGTGTATGTTTTTATAAACACATATATATAATTTTTTTTCTAATGACATCAAGCTGTATAAAATCTAATTTGTAAGTTAAATAATAAACTGCTTGAAAATAGAATACTCTACTTGACTTTTACCTTTTTTGTGGGTTTTTTCGTTTGCTTTTTGGGGTGGTGGTTTTTTGGGGTTTTTTGGTGTCTTTGTGGGGGAAGTTGTGTGTTTGTTCGTGTTTTTGATTTTTGGTTGGGTATTTCGTTTGGCACCAGCGTATAATCAGGTGCACATTTGGTTATTTCAAGCTGTCATGCATCTTCTCATGTTTCTGATTAGGATTTTTCACAATGTAAGGGAGTTTTTTTTGTATTTTAAGGTATTTCAACACCATTTTGTACAATTATTTCTTATTTAAAGCTACTGTATTTCAGTCTTACTTGGAATAATGAAATATCATTTTAATAACCCTTTTAAGGAGCAGAGAGATGTTAGGCCATTGTTGGCTTTTGGCTGACTGCAGTTTTGTGAAAGTTAATCTCTAGCATGGAGATTATTTCCACTCCCCTTTTTGCAGAGCAACATTCAATATTATTTAAATTAAAGCTATTATTTGAAACATTACTTCTGTAAGGAGTAATGTGAAATATATTGGTACAAAGATTGAATAAGTCTTGTTGGTTGTCAGTCAAGTGCAACAAGACTGAGGGTTTGTTTGCATGATATTTATTTGAACTAAATCCCTAACAAGGCTCGTCTGCTAATTGGACTTAGCATTTACGTTGCTAAGTGAGAAGCATTTTGGCTGCAGTATAGGGTGGTAAGACCTACCCAGTGGAATAAACAACTAACATCTGTTATCCTGTCCTGCTCCAGCTTGTCTTTTACCACTTAAGTACTTCAGCCCTGGAGTCAAGGTTATGGAATGTGCGGTTCTCTGGCTATGGTGTGTATATGGAAAGGGATGAAATAACACATAGGTAAAGACCAGCCAACCAGGAGATGTGTAGTGCAGCTGGTTCACTTTGCTTTAACCTCTACAAGCCCTACAAATATCAAAACAAAAGCCAAGAGAAGGGTTTATGCTTTATAGCAGTTGTCAACGCAGCAATTCAAGTGAGCTTACAGTGGCCACCATTATAGCAGATTTGACATTTATCTACCCTTAATTCACGCTGGTGTCTGAGACACCATGGTATTTCTTCATGTTCTGTGTAGAAATAATTGCTGAATTCCAGGGAGGCTCCGAGGTAAAACATGTTTCAACAGTAATCACGGTTACAGTTTTGTATGATAATTTTTGTTTGTCATGGTTAAAACACCAACATATTCAGTCAAAATTGAATTAATTTGCCTTAAAATATATATATTTTTTTTAGTGGTAGTAGATTTCTTTTTTTCTGCAAAGATTTGATCTTTGCCTGTACTAGAAAATTCAACCAACAGCTATGCAGTATAATTGTAGATAATATATACTGTTTAATTCCTCTTGAATGCTGAACTGGAAAAGCATCTCATATGATCAAGCAGAGATATTTTTAGGATGAAATTGTGATGGTTTATTCTCTTTGTAAAACAGATGTTGACCTCCAACCTGGCCAAGTGGCAACAGGAGAAGGAAGATTTAGAAGGAAAATTAAAGTTGAGAGAACATCTGTCTCAAACTGCTGGCAAGAGCAAAGTCATACCAGCTCCTTCAAAGAACATTGATTTAGAGATGAAACAGCTGCAGTGCAAACTAGAGGTGACAGAACAGATTATCTATTGCTGAGGATAATTCGTATGAGCAGTAGTTCATAACTGGGTCAAGCAGACATACATGTACTCCCCTACGCCTATGGTTTGTATATCGTAGCCAACCATCAGCAGCTTAGGTGTCAGATTGCCTTTGATGGTAAGTAGAAACGTAGCCATAGACAGAAGGACTAAAAGTTCTAAACCAGTTTCTGCAGATCGAATAGGCCAGACAAGAAGCCTTGCTGGGTTTTTGCACAATGGTTAAGTACATCTTGTTGGGAGGTGCTGTGGAATTAGTTTGATGAGAATTCAGTTGATTCCTTTCTTCCTTTAAGAAGGAGAAAAGCAATAGCTGTCTGTGAAAGGGGAGCAAAGAATTTAAGCAAATGGGGCAGCAGTGTTGTGTGTGTATTAGTATTGTCTTTGTCTTCAGAGAGACTTCTCTTTTTTTAAATTTGTATTTTTGTAGATTAGCTGGTAGGAAAATACTGGCTGGTTGATGATTTCACTTTTCAGTCTCGGGTGATTTTGTTGCATGTGAATGATGTAGAGCCTGGACTGTGTTGTTCCGAAAGCTTTCTCAGCAGGTGGCCTGGCTCAAACATTAATTCTTCTTCTCTTCTCACTAGAGGAAATATATTTGCAGCAGTATGTCTTCAAGTTGTTTTTTCCCATTGTTTTCTGTTAAATAGTAGAGGAAAGAGAAAAGGTCAAAATGGTGCAGTTTCATGCTGCTAGAAAGCACTCCACAGTAGCAAGAAGTCTGCCAAAGGATCAGCTAGAAGAAAAGGCTGTGTTACATGGTCAACATAGCTGACTCTAAGTGGTGGATTAGCTGTGTTAGCACACGAGATGTGGCTAATGCTCAGACCTCTGAGCTGTAGATGGTAATCGTGCTATTACAGATCATGGCTACTGCACACTGGATGCATAACATCTGAATTCAGGGATTAGTAAAGGTAGGTCACATTGATAAAGAGATGAGGCCAGCAGGGAGTAACCATGAAAAGGCACATAAATTGATCTCCTTTAATTATGAGAAAGGGTTCTTAAAACCATACACACTGTCTTCTTAAGTATTGTTTTTAGGTTTGGGATTGGCTAATCTGCTTCTGTTGCTGGTGAGTGGTAATTTCTGTTAATTAAGGTTGTACCTTTTAGATGACTATCTTCATTATCCAGAAACCTAGCAGTCAGCTGATCTATGCAAGTAGGAAAACTTTTAAAATAGGGATTTATTTTTTTTAATATCTTAAGAGTAAAACCCATGCTAGAAGCCTATGTTGTTTATCTGCCAAATGTGAACAGCAAAATAAATTGCTGAAAAATCAAAGGTTTTTTTGTTTCTGCAGCAGAGGAAATATTTAGCAAGCATATATAAATCTGATATCAAAAATACTAGCATGACTTTTAATTCCTTCTTAAAGATATATTAAATTTTTAATGAAAAAATAAATCATGTATGCAAAACTATATTTAGGATAGAGATAGTCTGTGACCCCAAATGCTAACTAGGAGAGTAAATTCACTGGTTTCTGAATTGGATGAGAGTTTTGAATATAAGAGCCTCAAAAGCTACTTAAATCAAGCTTCTAAAATTCTTCATTTAAGGCTAGTTTAAGTTCTGTAAGTCATTTTTTAGCAGAAGAATTTGACAAAAGGTTTTCACTTATTGTTCCAGGCTCTCTAGCTGACTTAAAAATGAGACACATAGTTATTCTTCTGAATATCTGAATGTCTAAGCAGCAAAGGCTTTCCTTATAGCTCAAAATGTCCAAGTACCTGGCCTTGTTAGTTAATTTTTTTCCATAGTGCTGTCTTTACAGTTCTTGTTTACGTTGTTTCTGTAATGACTCCTTGTATTTTTGCCAACAGGAAGAAATGTGTTAAGTGTGGGTGGTGAGTTCAGAAGCAAAATACCACAAGTATAAGTCTTTGCCTCTGAACATGTGCAGAGGCCCACCTAAGTGCTCGAGTTCATGTCTGGTGTGTAAACCACGTAACTGGGTGCTGTGCTCTACGCTAATGGAACTCAAGCCCCACAAACAGGTCTCAGGAAACCCAGGAATATTCTGCTAGCATACATAATTTTAACCATTTTCTGGTTATACCTCACATTATAATAATAGTAAATAGACTAGACAAGTTATTAAGAACAATATTTTACATTTAACTATGCACACAAGAATATATACTCCCCTTGAGGTGCACAGAGTTATGTACAATACTCCCATTAATGTTAATAGGCATTACAAGTCTGCACCGAGCAGAGAAATTCTCCTGAAGTATTGTTTACAGCATGTCTGATCTCTTTGCTTATTGTTTATACATACTGAGTAAAAAGCTGTAGTACAGTAGCTATATCTGTCTACATATAGGCACATATATATTTTGTGCATATGCTTAACGTGTGTCTTTTGGCAACACCTTTTGGAGTTCTGAAATATCTCTATGTGGTGTGTTTGAGCTGCCATTTCAGCAGTGGCATTCAATGCATATGGTCAGATTGCTAAGATGGCTACTTAGTTTAATTTTTTTTTCTTTTTTTTTTTTCTTTTTTTTTCTGTAGGCTGATTTAGTTGTTCTGAATTTAGGTCTTGGGTAGATGATATGTGTAATTTCCTGGAGGCATAGAGGCACTTTTTTTCTTATATACAAATGAGTAATGGCCAACAATTGTATAATTGTCCTTCACTGGAATGACATGTGCCTGAAAATTAGGATCATGCCTCGCTGTTACTGAAATATAGAATTTGTTAGTACAGACAAATGGAAATGTCTTTGTCTTGTGCTTTGAATTTCCGGAGACATAAAAACAACCTCTCTTGTAAATTGTCTTGTATTTCCTAGTACTCAAGATGAAAGGAATAATTGTACATTCTCACTGTATAGATGTATGTAGACTGTAGAACTATACCATTCAAAGACGCAGTTCAAATGAAGATCCAGTTTTACTTCTTTTCTGTTATGTTTTATTCTGACCATGCTATGCAAGGGAAAGTGCGGTCCTGATTGGTGCTTGCAAGTGTCCCGGGGAGCACCAATTAACCATACATTATTAGAACAATGGAAAACTGCTGATTTTCATCGCGTTTTCCGAGGAATGTGCTTCTGCCTAAGTATTTCTAGAAAGTAAGAATGCTCCTTTTGTACTAGTTAATTTCTAAGAACCCTCATAAAATACATGGAAATTTACTCAGATAATTTTCTTTCAAAACTTGTTGTTGACTGTGATCAAATTCAGCCTAGTTCCTTTATATTTTGATATTTTTCCTTATAGAATTCGAATACTGAGGTCACTAAGCAATCGACCACCATTAAGTCCCTGAGAAAACAAGTCCAGGAGGAAGAAGAATGGATTCAGGAGCGGGGAGCCCAGTGCGGTCCCGCTCCTATCCATTGTGTCTGGCGCCACCCTGTGGCAGCTGGGAAAGCGCTCCAGCGCCAACTGTTCCCGGATTCCTGACAGCGCTGGATCCTTTTTGCTGCAGTCTTGCAGGGTTTTTTTGGAACTGGAGCGGCTTATGCTCAAATTGCGATTTTTTTAAAAAACTGATGAGTGATCAGCTATGTACAGTATCTGTATGGCAGTAAGAACACCTTCAGTCGGAACTCAGACTCCAGAGTAGGCTTTTTTATCCTTGGTGTAAGCCGAAATGAATTCCTCAGCACTGTTAAACACAGTCTTTCAAATTCAGTAATTCTTTGCCTAGGGGCTAAGAGACATGTCAAGGTTCAGATGCTTAAATAAGATTAAATAGCTAGTTTTATATTCATAAAAAAGTTCAAAAGGACAGTTGTGTTTGTTTCCATTTGAATTGATTCATGTCTGCTATTCATTTTGAAATTCAAAAATTGTCAAGTATGCGACTGATATTTTTTTTCAACCTGCTGTAACTGATATAATACTGTTCTTCAATTATATTGCAATATAAACTATAAAAAAACTATTAGTATATATGAATTTCTTGTCTGCCCAAGAGTTTACCTCCTCTAGCCCTTCTGATTTTTTAATTGAAGAAAGAATGCAGTTTGCTTATCTGAAAATAATTCATTTGAAAAATAGAGACCCTTAAAAATGGTTAAAGTGTAGATTGTTTATTTTCTGTTTCAAAGTGAAATTTTCCACCATAAGATTTTAAATTTAAAATAGTTATTGGATAGCATGCTTTCTTTATAAAATAGATACTGTTTTGTCATAGGCTGTAAGATACAATAACCAAAATAGCAGTAAGAGTACAAAGAAATAGATCAAAGAAATTTTTAGATGCACTGTATTCCTGGTTTTTTTAAAAATATCGTATTGACATTGTATTAACAGTGTTGTATTCCTGAACATACTACCATTCGTTTTGCTTTCATTGGAAAAAAAAATACAGGTATCTGGACATATTAAGTGTTGCTTAGATTTACATTTAAAATACTAATTTGTGCTATAATAGTGGAAGCATTGTTTAAGGCCTAATTTCTCATTGAACAAAGATTGTTTTTCAGTACATAAGAGTTTTGGGGGTTGTACAAGGAGTTTCTGACAAAAGCCAATGTTAGTTCTAGGTTTTGCATTTTATCTCATCTGACATACAGGGACAGAGTTGTTTCAACTGTTTCCGTGTATTACTCTGTTGGAGGAAAGAAAGATTCCCCATTTCACTTTCCTTTGAAAATAATTTTGTAAAAAATAATGTTTGAATGATTGAGACATCAAAGGAATTTAATTAATTTAATTTTGTGGGCTCAGAAGGTTTCTTTTCCCTTTTTTTGATAATAGTTCAAGAATTATTGTGATTTCAATTCAGACAAGCAAAGATCAAATCACAAATATATTGCATATTTAGAAAAAGGTCTCTTTAACAAGAGACTGAGACTGAGTTTAGTACTTGACAACCAGGTAAATTGCAAGGACTGCATCAGCTTTCATTTTGTAAAGCTACAGGTACGATGCATTGTCTACTGCCTTTATGCCTTTTAGTTGCATATTAAACAAATTTTCTAGCAGTGATATGCTGTCCAACTTCTTCCCCTGCAGAATTTCTCAGTTGGAGAGAGACCTTACTACGAAAAGACATTTGATAGATGACTTAAGGTCTTGCCTAAAAGCGAATCAAGAAAATGAGAACAATTGGAAACATTGGAAAGTCTTGAGACAAAGGTACTTCTTTCTTGCTATTCCTAGTTTTCAGAAGAACATAAGCTGGTGGATTTACAGAAGTTATTTCAACACACTATACATATTAAATCAATATATTGCTTAAAGCAAAGAACATACCGTTAATTGAAGGGTGTAATTCCCTCCACTATAATTTGTATTAAATCAGTATATGGTGATAGCTTGAATGGATTCAGCATAATTTAATTTATCTTTGTTATAGGTATAATTAAATATTAAAGTATTCAGAACACACAGTTGCAAGGATATGCTCTAAGTAGTGGGATTTAGTTTTATGCACTCTAAGTTCATAAAATATAGTAGACCTGAAACAAGGGCGATTTTACATGACATATGCTAATGAAGTCCATGCATCTCTCCTGCCTATAGTAGTTAAATGCTTTAGTATGTTAATCTATTTTCTACTGCAGTGCTATGAATGATTCACAGTTCTTAGCTTAAAGTAATTCTAACCGTGTAGGTAGTGCTTCACTTCTATAGCAAATTATTTTCTCCTGCAAAATTTTAGGATGTTTTCACTGAAGGTAAGAGAACTTGTATGTGGTTTAGCATATTTCTGTTATCCAACTGATGCATTTCACTTTGGCCTTCAATGCCAGAAGAAGAGCATGATGTTTGGTTGTCTGTCAGGTTATGCAGCTTATGTCCTCAAAATAGAAATAAACAATCTGCCAGTTTGCTTTTGTTTGCCTAGAATGCAGGTGCTTGCTGAATGTCACAAACACTATTCCTGCTTGCAGTCATACAGCGTTTTCAGCTCCAAAGAGAGCTACTGTTGAACCCTCCATGCTAAAGATAAGGTGCTAATAAGAAATCCACAGCCAGAAAGTGAAAACATAAATAAGCAAGGGACCTAAGTTATGACATGAGTAAAATACGTGGTTTTGGTTTTGGAGAAAAGATTTACCATGGAATGATGTGCTTTAGTGCTGTCCTTTAAGTATTTAAAGCACTTCATTTCCAGAGAATGATATTTCATATATTATTTTGATTATTCCATGTGGAAAATCAGCTTGATAAATTTTACATTGTCTTCAGCAAAAGATCAAAGAAATTCCCTGTTACTCAATATTGTCAGGAAAATTTTGTGATTACCGCTATAGGAAAGCTGTACAATTTTTACGAGCATTGTTTTTTTTCATTTTACTCCCAATCAGTGTTTGCATTGGATAATCATTATCTAGAAGCTTTACAGACTATTAACACATAGGCAGTTATTTTCTCAGCCGAGTTTGAATTTGTTTTTGTCCTTGACAAAAGAAATTAGTGGAAGTCGTAGTTTTTCTCCTTTTTGCAAGTACTGTAATTCTAAAGTATATATGAATAAACAGCTCTGCAAATTAAGAGCTTTTCTTTATACTTAATGCCAGTCAAAACTTTATGTATCAAGATTGTGTGCAAACTGATCTCTACTGGATCAACAGTACAGATTTATTGAAGTCTGCAGTTTCAGCAAAAGATACTTCAGTAATGTAATGTTCAGTAATATTGTTACATAATATAGGTATGCTTAGTTCTGATTTTGTTGTAATTTTGAAGTTTTCTATCTTGATAGTCAATGCTCTTGCCCTTTCATTATTTCAGGTGAAGGCACAGGCTGAAGACAGAAAACTTCGATTGACTCAATGAAATGAAGGTTAATGTGGCTATGACTGAGAAGTCTCAGTATGAGCAGATGTATCACAAAGCTAAAGATGGTTTGGAGAAAAAGGTACCATTAGAATTTTGATGGCTCCACTGTGGAACCTTTTCTTACCTTACTTTCAAATGAAAAGTTGCAAGGTCATCAGCTTAAACTTTCAGTACAGAAAAGGATAAAATAGCAGAATAATTGTAATCTGTTTCTCTGATGTAATTCAGTCACACTTCTGAAATTCAGATAAAACTTGAGCATAATGACTGAAAATGAAATTACTTTTTGCCATGAAATTACATACTCTATGTTGTAAGTGAAATATTCTGTGATGTGTGTGGGAGGTTGGTTGTAATTGGTTGTTTGTAATCTACCATACCTCCCCATCAGCTTTTATCATAGCACTACTGTGTCTCTGGGGCTGTGTTTCAGGATCTGAAGCTTACTAAACTGGAGAGTAAATTGATTGAGGCTGAATGTGCTATGACTGAACTTGAAAGTTCTGCATTTCCACAAATACATGGTTTGGCAAAACAGAGTACACAGGCTTTGGAAACTCTACAGAAGGAGCTGCTGCTCACCAGTGACAAAGTAGAAGAGTTCAGACATTTGTGAAGGTTTGAATGTTGTTGTTGGTTTTTTTTGGGGTTTTTTTTGAGTGTTCACCTGAATAAAGATTTTTTTTTTAATGAAAGCAAAATATAAAAGATTAAGCAAGGCTTTGATGCACTCCCTGTTCCAGAACAGTTTGTAGTTGCTGCAGTGTTCTGGTATCTTTCAAAGACTTCAATAACTTTTATTGGTCATCTTTTTATATATGGCTGCCATATACTTGGTCCCAAAAGAAAGTATTTGATTGTGTATCAGATTACTTTGCAGAAAATAAATTCCCAATGCATTTAATATAATAATTCTTACCTATTGATTACTGTGAATTACCTCATGTTCCATATGCATGTGCTTCTTGGTTTAGAAGTACTATATTAGGAAGCCTCTGTGTTGCAAAATTGAAAGCAGTTTTAAGAGCAGCATGTAGAATATTGTTTCCTTATATTCCTTCCATGGAAGTGGTCACAGCACCAGCCTGATAGAGTTCAGGAAAGGTTTGGACAATGCTCTTGAGCACATGATACTTGGGGATGGTGCTGAATGAACAGGACCAAGAGCTGAATTCTGATGATCCTTGCAGGTCTCTTCCAACTCAGAATATTTTGTGATTTTATTAATGTAGCATTTAACTACTGTATACCAGCTTTCAAAGAAGGCTATTGCTTATTAGTCCACCAAACAGCCACTTCTCTACTGCTCTTGAATTTCTGTAGAAGTGAGATGCTTTCAGATATGTTTGAGCAAGGCTGAAGCATTCAAAGTAAAGAGTAATTGTATTTTGACTGGAAAAAGAAAGCATATATAGTTATCCCTTCAAGAATAACTTTCAACTCCAGATTGAAATTTAATAACATAAATACTTGCACATTACATCTTCTTTCTACCTTCATCAGATGAAAAGTCACTCTGCATAGCAGTGTTCAGACCTTTACATTTGCCTGAAATCATCCCATGTTCAGTTCAGTTGCTAAGTTCATATAAGTTTCTTTATTTAAAAGGATTGAACGATGTTGAATACACTTTAGAATCCTAAACTCAAGTAATTCATAAGCTAACTTATCTAAGGTGAAAGTAATGATTGATTTTCATGAAAAAGTGCTTGTTATTTAAAAAACTAGAGATTTTATTTTTGAAGTTTATTATAAAAGTGATTAATGTTTTCTTAATATCAATTTCTTTATTAATCAAATATCAAATATTTGTTGACTAACAAAAGTAAAAATTTTGCTTTTTGATGTAACTATTGAAAAAGAGGTATAAAACTGATCACTATGTCTGTTTGTTCCGAAATATGCTGCTTATTCTTGAACAGACTATAAATTTTCATGAAAGAAAATGTAGTTTCTTTTACTACTGAACGCTTACCCTAGGAAGATGTAGCTGTTCTTTCCAATAAGTTGCATGCTTATTTTTGGCTAAATATGGAAAAATCTGAATTAATCTAATATATTATCTATAATTTTTAATTAAGTACTCCTGTTTCATTGATGACATAGAGAAGCAATTCTGTCTCCATTCAGACTGCTATGAGTTTTGGAATGTCTTCATTGAATAAAATGAAACTGGCAGTTATAGAAATGAGCAGATAAACAAAGCATACTATCAATATTTTACGTACTTCTGTCATGATAAGTTTTTCAAACCTTAGAGAATGAGAAAATAAAAGATCTTCTGTTCTCAAAAGTCAATGTAGTGGGCAGAATCACCCATTAGCAACTGTTATTATAACTTCATTGTTGAATAAGATGTCAGCTTCATTCTTAATTACCATGAATATTCATTAGCACTTGCATGGTTGAACTAGATGTGAATAAAGAAAAGTTAATATGAAATAATAATAATAATAATTCTTCTTATTATAGTAATAATAATAATAGTAGTAGTAAATACCTACTTTCTTGCCTGGATAGAAAGAATATGCATGCATATTTCAAGTAATAGTTGTGCTGACTGCTGTTCCTCTGCAGAGCAATTTTTTTTTGCAAACAAAGGTGGTGTCTAAAAGTAAAGTTTTTGTTTAGTTGGGTGCTCAAATCGGATTTTATTAACAATGTACCACTGTAAAAAAGTAAAATCCGTGGCAATTCAGTGGAATTGTGCAGTATATCTGGTAAATTCTGTAAAAATATCTCTTGTGTATCTGATGTTACAACGAGGTACTGTGATAATACTTATTGTAGTAAGTAGCAGTAGAAGACTACAGCTCTTCTTTTGAAGTCTGGTGTGCCTTGTTTCTTCTCTTCCGAATAGCTGTCAGGTTTTTGTCCCCTAATCTTGATTCTCATTCCAGTTCCAGTAATTCAAATATTTTTTTCTATATAGAGATCCAAGTTTAACCTATATATATCTCACTTAAAAATGTTAACAAAATTAGATGATCCTCTAATCTTCATCTGCTATTCTGTTCACTTCATAAGCTTTACTTGTTTTTTAGAGTGCAATTTTCTCCTCATTCTTAATTTGAATACAGTTACTTTTTCTACCCATTCCACGTCTTTTTTGATATTATATAGTTCTTTTTAAACATACGACAAGAAATTATTTCAGAGTTTCTAATTAAGTTGCTTCTGGTTACAGCTATAAATGGGAGAATAGGGGAACTTCAGAGAAGTTTATAACGGGCAGTATTACTTGCTTTTAAAGAAAGTCATTGGTAACACAGAACCACAGGATCTTGGATCTATTTGGGTCAATATAATAAGCCACAAATCTAGGGAACAGTTTTCTGGTAGAAATCCAATATATATCAGTGGATCACATTAGAGGATATTACTTACTAATTGAGCATATATTTGTAATGGAATGTAATAAAATGCTGCATTGCTCTGGTCCCCCCAATTTGGGACACTTATACAATAATCTAAAATCATTAGATTGCAGAATCTAGTAATAGTTTCCAAAAATGCTGAAAGGAATGGTTGTAAACAAAGGTTGCTGTATCCAATACGTTGTAAGTGATTATTTGATTTATTTTTGTTGGAGCGTGGGATAGGAATTGGATGTTGTGTGCTGGATGACTTTCAGTGGGAACTGACAGGGCACCTGAAATAGATTAATTCAGAGCAGTTCATTTGTCCAAAGCTGTTATGAGGACGATACAGGCTAGCAGGAAATATGAATAGGAATTGTGGACTGTAACAATTAATTAAGTAACCAGAAAACCACTGTTGCATAATTAGATGGTAGATCCTTATAAATATCTATTTCATTTTGGTAGGAAAGAGAGCAAAATATTTAGAAATAAAAGGCAACATAAACAAAGTGGAAAATAGATTATAGATAATAACTTGAAAATATAAGCAACAATGGAGTATAAAAGATGGATAAGATGCTGAAGGAGTCAAGAGGAAATCTTTGGGTAGCAAGGCCAAGAACAGTAGTAAACAGGCAGGATTAAAAATGTACTACTACTAAGGTAGCTATTGCAGGGTAGAGGTAATCTATTATTAGATAAAGCAACTCTGTAACTGTGTAAAGATAGAGGTCAATGAATATTTCTGTTTTGTGTCTGAAATTAAGTAGGCTGATTTCTTATGAAGATGCTGCAACATCCTTAATCTAGTAGTAGCCAAGAGAAGAGTATTAACATGTTCTAGAAAGAAGTAGGATTTTTTGATTGAAAATTTTTGTAGCTTACCAGTTTATAGAGCCAGTTAAGAAGTATTTCTCTTACTGATCCTTATTTTGAATAAGTATTCAAAGTTAGTGCATATATATTACAACACTTCCTAGTGTCTAAAAGAATGATAATACTGAGTCAATATTCAGAAAAGGCAGTATTTTATGTTCAATAATCTGAACTCATTTCTGAATAAAATATTGATATGAAATGCAATTGTTAAAATATTAAAGCATGGAATATAGTTATACTTCTTAGAGTGCCTTTATGGAAAGCAAAATGTATTGAATAGACCTGTTTTTTTTTCTGGAGTCAGTTGATAAAAGTTACTATTTGTTTTAATATACCTTTTTTAAGATCTACTGCTGAGATGTTCAGATAAAAAAAATAGCCTATGCAATATCAATAGTATGTTAAATGGATCAAAATAGCTCATACAGTTGATCTGAAAAATAAACCATAAAATATAGGTGCTTTTTAGAGTTCCATAATGACCAGAGCTAAGCTTGATTATTAAACATTTTCACTAATTCATATCCTGACAAAATTTTTCCATAGTATTTATCTAGACTGAGAAATAATAATGTAAGTAAGGCTGTAAATATACCAACTAGGCCAAATAAAGTGCTTTTATTACAGAAAAAATGCAAGCTACCTGGAAGAGGGATCAGGTGGCTCTGAGATTACTTCAGATGCGTTTTCTAGAGCTCATGTCTATCCCACACCACTTCCTTCAACGGCCATAAATTCTCTCTGAACCATGCATTCAATTTCTTGGTGTACCATTGCTCAGGGTTTTCTGTAACATGTACTGTCAGATCCTCTGGTAGATCCTGCCAGTTATGTGAAACACAGCAACCAGAGCAAAATGTTCTTTGTTGTGTGTTTGTAGCACTTGTGAGAACTCATGCAGAAAACAGCCATTGGATAAAGTTTAAAAATCGCTATTAGGCTGCTTGACTGGATTTCTATCTAAAATATAGTACAACATACCAGTTTATTATGAAACTGTCCGAATTCCTTCACGAGTTCTGTTTTCCAGCATTTTTATCCTCCTCTAGACTTTGTCTGACCATATGTTTCTGTTAGAGGCTTTTGTGAGCCAAGGCTCAGTAGCGTCATCTGTCCCATTCAAATTGTACATCAGGAAAACTCATATTTAATCTGCGGTGATGATGCCTGCCTGAGCATGAGAATAACATAACTTTTGTGACTTTGAGAAGGATTGTTGTGATAAGGCATCTATATTCAGCTGTGGTGGTAATAAATAGGTGATGGCAGCTGAATGCTTCGAAATCAGTTGAGTGTGCTTCTTACTACCATAATACCTCAGTCATTTGGGACTTGTGTGCCTTCCACAGAGGATACCCTCTGCAGCACAGT